GTTTAGAGAATAGTTATTAGGCAAATACATGTCAACTCTGGCAAGCAATAAATCCAGTTTTAAATTTCGCTGATACACTATTAAAAAGTATGAATAAGTTATTGAAATTTCATTTCTCTGTATAGGTATAATATCCTTATAAAGTATTTAACTTTTTTTTATTTGTTTTATTGCGGCTGCAAAATCATTAATTTCATAAATATAAATTAATATAAGCACATTCATCGACTTTTGGGTGGTACGAAGTTCGCCGGGTCAGCCAGTTAGATAAAGAAAAGATAGAGAGAGATATCTTTTAGAGATATTAATTAAATGTTTTAAACTTGTTTTTTTACATGAAGCCGTAAATATAATTGTAGATAATATATATATTAACTAAATATAATAATACATAACATAATACAGTTTTGTAAAATTTTAATGGTATGCCCTAAGATTACCGATTTGATAAATTTTAGGACTGAGTGCTCGTCACTAAAATGAGAATGAATAACAGTAATTAGTTATTTCAAATTTAGAACATTTTTTTATGAAACTTCAAGGGCGGACAAACGTCAAAACGCACAGCGCGGTACCGAGACAATAGTGTCTCTTTTTGTCTAGCAATATTTTCCAACACTACTTTCTCTGTCATGTACTGTCCGATCAGATTTCAATATTTATGACAACGAAAGAAAATAAATTTAATAAATAATGAAATCGAAAAACTTAAGAGTGAAATGTTACACCATTAGCTTTATTTGTACTTCTCGAATTTTTAGTGCACTTGCGGAAGGCACACTACGGTATTATAATACACTTATCTTGCATAAAATGCCTGCGGTATTTTAATCACCAACGTCAAACTGTCATTATGTTCATATGAACGATGTTATGAACGCTGATTAGACTTGGATTAGACACGATATGTTGATATGGGATTTAGCTCATTCGAGTATTGTCAGATTTCGGTGCGGTTAAACTATAGGGGGCATATCTAACGATTCAAACCTTTGTGGACGGCAAGATTTTCGATAACAGATGACATTGATTTCGGTCTTGTTTTATGGACTCTGTTACTAATAATGGCGTGACTGACCATGTTCATCATAATTAATAAATGGTAAATAAATAAATAAATATTTGCAACATTCACACCAATTAGCCTAGCCCCAAAGTAAGCACTGTAAGGTTATGGGATACTAGCATAACGGATAGAATACATATACAGTACATATATAAGTATATTTATATAGAAGTTATATTAAACATCCATGACTGGAGTACAAATGCTCGTATTCATCACACAAACATCTGCCCCCACCGGGATTCGAACTCGGGACCTCTCGAGTCGGTATCATCATACTTCAAAGTGACTGTATTCTTAATTATTAATTAAACATTAAAACAGTGAAGCTAGGTTTTGTTAACGAATATCTCTTTAACTTGCAAATATTGAGAGTGGCATGTGTGTCGTATTTCGTGTGAATGGGTTGTCATCAGTTCATCACACAGACAACGTTGTTATATGCTTACCAAATGCTGACACAGTTCGGATGTCGTAAAATTATTTTTGGAACGGGCACCCAAATATAATTGCCCCTGCCAAATTTTTAAACGGTAAACTTTTGAGAGAAAACATTAAAAGAGAATTAGTTAATGAATAAAGTGATTAAAGTAATTATGTTTCTTTTATTGATGCCCAGGATATATTTGTAATAAATTCGAATGAATTATTAAAAATAGAAAACAGCTTGACTCTCCATCTGGTCCACCATCCTTATGTTGGTTGTAGGTATATGTGTCAACATAGTAGCGTGCTTGCTATTATTGAATAATTTTATATCTTTGTAGACATTAAGTTGTTCCTAATTAGTTAAATAATTATGTTTTTTATGTTGATTACAGCATAAGAACATTTCATACTTAAAATATTTATATATTATAAATCAGTAGAATTAATAATTTTTAATTATATATTTGTAAATGTAATGAAATAATAACATAGGTTAAGAAAATTGTTACTACATATGACCATGTCTTGAAATAAAAGCATTTTATTGTATTTTATTTAATGAAATGTATGAAAAGTTTTTATGGTATAATCTACATAATTAACATAATTATTTAACTAATTTGGAACAACTTAATGTCCACAAAGACATTAAATTATTCAATAACCCACAATGTCAAATGAATATGTTCATCATCAGCCTCTTAATGTCCCCACTGTTGGGGCACAGGCCTGCCTTTCTTATGGGTTGGCGGGTGCTAATAACTGCAGATGCAGCCGGGACCAACGGCTTAACGTGCCTTCCGAAGCACAGAGGAACTCGAGATAATAGTTTTTTGATCACCCATCCAATAACCGACCACTGCGAAAGTTGCTTAACTTTAACGATCGTAGCCAAACGCGCTAACCACTTGCGCCATCGAGCTCCTCGATATCTATATCTATAATTGAATATCTTTACAAGTATTAAACATGGTATTTTAGAGTGGATTGGATTCATAATATCGCACCTTTATTCCAATACTGTCATTATCATAAAATAAAATTAAAATACAGGATTTAAAGTAATGTGTAGATTCATAACGTACCAAATAGATGGCGTTGTAAACTATTTTTGAAGAATTTTGTTTAATGACAGTCGAGAATTTACCGCCCAACAAAGTACTGAGCAGATGGCAGATGTTTACATTGCAATAAGGTATATTTATAGTGGAATAATAAAATTAAATAAGTACTTCAAGGAGCGTTTAATTTCCTAAAATCAGTCTTTGTTAATAACCGGAATATACACAATATGCATTTTAGGTATGTAATGACTATTTTTAATTTTCATAAAATATCCTCATAAATTTTCATATATTTTATCCTATAAAACAAAAAATATTACGACATCATTACCGGAAATCCTTAAAATTACAATGAAATGATTATACTTCAGATTTCTATTATAAATGTTTTGCTAATTAGTAACTTTAAAGTCATAATTATTTGTAATTGTAAATAATACTTTTTACTTTCAGCGGAAACAACTAAGTTATATTAAAATATTGATCATTTATGAAAGCTTTAGAATTAACATACATTTTTCAGAATGATTTTCATATTGACATAATATACTTTACAAGAGTTCTTCAGAAATTTTCAGAGTTCCTTGAAAATCGGATTATATTTTATCAATAGTCTTAGTTTAAAAATAAAAACGTTCGATTACAATGACTTCAGAAAATGTATTTGCCTTTATGTAACTAAGCCTTAAAGCTGGAGATGTCAAAACAATACAAGTATTTTATAACCTGGCTGTTAGGAAATTAATAATTTTCAGATTCAAAATAATTTCATTACTTAATCTAAAGAAAAGTTTTACTAGAAAAAAATTCACGCGGACCTGGCAGCGGACGGGACTCGAACCCGCACCCTTCGCAATCCGGGCGAATGCACTGACCAATTATGATATCACGGCCCTGTTGGCCGCGTCGAAATTTTCCTAGCCTTAAGCTGCAAGGCAGCGCCATCTCTTCGCATTGTAGGTAACCCACATTGTCAAATGAATACTTTTTCAAGTATTAAACATTTGAAAGAGGAAATAGCAATTACAGTTATGTTTTTTTTTTCTTTTTAAGCATTGCACTGCTAGATGTTTAAATCTAAAGAAAAGTTTTACTAGAAAAAAAAATAAAAAAAACATAATTTCATTACTGTCTAATATTAAATAGTACATTACGACACGCGTGACCTAAGTTGCCTCGCTCCGCTCGGGCGCAAACTTCACGCCGTGCAGTAATAGACAACTTAGGCCACAAGTATCGTATACTATTTTATAGCAAGTGTGACATAAACCCGCCCCGGACGCGGGCAAGAGGGCCCCCCCTCTTTAGTGTTTTGAAAGTAAAATTCATGTATTGCAATCACAAAGAATTGCAATACAGACTGCAAGTCAAACTCTGAAAAGAAAGAATTCCGGTTCAGATTACCATTTTGAAAGTATATTTCAAAAGGAAAAAATCAAATATCATTACAACAAAATAACCTAACCTATCGGTAATTTGTCATTTGTTTGCTGTGAGTTTTTAAGCTCCAAATGACATTTAAATGTGTTTCCTTTTATTTTTTCTACATGAGTGAAGTTGGTCAATTCATTTACACACCGTGCAGAAATAGGCAACTTAGGTCACGGAAAAGCGTGCGTAAAGTGCGGGTTTAGGTCACACTGTGCTATAAACCTTATTACATAATATATATAAGAATATTGATAAGCATTATTACATAACAATAAACAAATGGTAAGAAAAAAATAAGTAAATGTCGGTCAGAGAAACAAGACAAGACCACTTGAAAGTATCTACTGATGTGAGTATTGGCGGCCATTTACCGTCAGACGAGCATTTTGCTTGTATTTGCTACCCCATTTTACAAAAAAAAATACATGTGGATTAGAAAAATAAAAAAATAAAAATAAATCAAGGTCCAATTTCTGCATTACGTAGTCGCATTGGTTGCAGCCTTGGCTGAAGACTGTAGTGAGGTGCTGTAATAAAAAAAAAAGAAAATAGTTGCTTACTCCGATACAGATAATAAAATCCCATCAACATCTGAGGCATAATTATTAGAAAATTATTTTAGGCGATAGGCTGGCTGGCTAACTTGTCACAAAAGATTCAGCCTTTAATGATGTGCTGACATAGCAAATAACTCCAAACCAATTAATATAAAAACTTAAAAATGTGTATCTAATTTAACACAATTTTTGGTTAACGAAAAATTTTAACTAAAAAAAAACTACACGGCCCTGTTTTCAGTCAGGATTCGAAAGGATTGCGGAAGTTCTATGCTTAAAACATAAAATTACAATTGTTGGCTATTCTTAGCCTGAGTTGCACCTCATGTTGCACCAACTTAATTAAGCGTTAATTGTCATGTCTTTAAAGTCTATTAAAATTTAACTAGCTCTGTGGTGCAACTCACACTATCAAGTATTAAGTACGTTTAAATTACCTCGTTTACAAATGTGTTATTCCGAGCTGGTTGAGTCGTGCGTGACATTGTTGCGGGTTTTGTGCCGCTCAGTGTTGCTGTTATTCAGACTACGCGCGCGGGACATCTTGCACTCGTCGGCACATTTAGTAGTGATGATAGTTCTAGAAGAAATATTGTATTTTAAAAACGGACGTTCTATTTATCTGCTAAAGAGGGTGCCATACTACAAAATTACACTTTAAAAGTTTTACACTTACAGATTTTTTACAAATTTATGTATGTTATAGACAAGGTTAAATTATAGACGTAGTTTTTTTTTTTCAGCAATCAAATCACCGTGCTGCCGTGGATGTTCCAAGAAAAAAGAAATGTCATATTAAGCCGTTTTAGGGTACTCAATGGGCTGTTAAAATACATACCGCACTTGAGACTCGGTAACTCCGCACTTGTCCATGACTGTCTGAATTATGTCTTGAACCAAAAGTGGATCCAGTTTTTCCTTGGCTGGCTTATTGGGGAACGCGGGAGATGATTTACCGGTTAACGAATGTGTGGCCAATACTCTGGGAAAAAATAGAGTAATATAGAAGCAACTTCATTACAGTAAACACTTTCGATTTTGAAGATTTCCTATTTTGCTGTGAATGACAAATGTAGAATGTGGCAGATGTTAACTTTCCTGTGGTAACAATACCATTCACCATCTACAGGGAACACAATTTGCAGAATTGCGTCAAGACTTGACTGGCAACAATTGGTCTCAATTGTTTCCATATATTAATTTAAACTGAACCATTGTAACTAAAGGATAGGTGTATTGATATTAGCAGCAGTTTGTGGTACTCACTCGCGCGGGAACACAGCTGTTAGAAGTTTCCGCGTACTAGCGGTGTATGAACTCCAGTTCATGTGTTTAAGTAGTCTGCCAGGGACTTCGGCATGCCCGTCTCCAATGGGAACCTGTGCGTTTTTAAACATTGTAAATGGAAATGGTGTATTAACTAATCATAAACTTAGTCTTACGTGAAAATAGTATGATTATTTTAGAAAATAATGCATGAACAATTAGTGCTACCCGGAAATCAAAATGATCATCTGCATCCCCCCCTCCAACAACCCCTCCAAATGATGAGATCAGCTTAAATTAAAATTACTTGGAACTTTGGCCAATTTTTATTTTAATATTTAAGATTAACCGTAGAATATATGTATATTTATAAGCATATCACGTTTTGAGGCAGGTAATTGAGGACGTCGCACCGAATGCATTATAAACTTTCACCATTTATGGTGCAGATGGAACTAATTGATTTCGTTTGCAACAATAATATGAATAATACTGTTTTCCCCGTTCTTTTGTTACATTGAAAAAAATTAAATTCAAGAAACTAATGAAAGATATGGAAATAAAACAATAAAAGTTTCATTATAACACGAAAGAAAAATTAGTAATTATATTGCCGCATTTATATTATAAGTATCATCACAATGATGCAGGTGACACTTTCTATAGTTACTGTGGTTCGTTTGCCCCAAATGGTAAACTTAAAACTAATCAGTTTCATCTGCACCAATAATGGTCCAAGTCAATGGTGCATTCGGTATAACGGGTAAATAAGAAGTTTGCATTAAACATACTCAAGTAGACAACACTTACCAAATCATTACTGGTATTGTTGTTTTCTTTCAACACACGCTTCTTGACACTCCTTCCGTGAACAATCTTTCTAGAATTTTTGCTCGTGTCAAAGGTACCTGACGAAGTGCTGGATTTGGAGGTCCCAGGGGTTGGAGGATTGTGAGTTTCCTAAACAAACAGGAATACACAATATCAGTTAAAATATTTATATAACTATGCGAGGCCATGGTTATTGTTTACATAAAAAAATGATTTCGCAATAACTTTAAGGGAAAACTCAATTTTCAAAATGAATTCAAATGGAAAATTCACATGCATTACTCGATAACAGCTCAACTGGCTTAGCTGATTGTTTTTTGTTTGTAATGACGAAGATAAAGGAATCTGTATTTATATATTTAAAAGTCAATATTCCTCATTTTCTAATTGGTGCGAGTTGCTTGTAGTCTAACACTCGTATTTATCAATTTCTTAGGGTGAAATATATAACTGTTCTTCAATTCATTACTACTTAAATATATTACGTATTTTACTTGTATATAAATTCGACGGTTAATACTATTAAAATAAAATTAACTGTGTTCATTGCATATATTAAATACTGATTATAATTAGTTAACACAATAACAGTAAAAATATAAATTATATTTTACTTGTTTATAAATACGATGGTTAATACTGTTAAATTTAAATATATTTAATATGAAACAACTGCTTTGCATTGCAAAACTTTAAAGACTGATTATAGTTAGATTTTTAAAGTATTGTTAACATCAATGGCTTACCTGGCTTTTAATTTCTGATTTTATGATATCAAAATACCCTTTCGCATGCAATGATAATATAAACGAGTTTATTTCTGCAATTAAACTTTCAAATTTATCCTCATCGCATCCAGCCAAGACGCCTTTGAGTGTTGATGAAACACATTGCCTGATTACTTCGGTCAAGCATTGGGAATGTTTGACTTGGTTTTCGAGTGTTTTGCTCGAACTTTCGCCGTTTTGTCGAGAAAGCTTTTGGCGTTTCACGGGCATATTTTCAGATTCAGATGAATCTGTTGATCTAGCACGAGGTATAGTCATGGTGACACTTTGTTGTTTCACCTTTAAAATAGGCAACGAAGATCGTGGTGTGGACTGCAAAAGGGAATCAATTATTACATTACATATGTACGCCATACAACAAAACACTTGTAACTTGTTACTCAAACTCAGTAATGCAATAAGGATACAACAGCATTGATAGGGCCTAAATTGTGACCTTATTAACACAATTATTTCTGGTTGGCAAGTCGTCAATAACTAAAGTTTTTATTAGAAATTAATTATTTCGGTATAAATGTTAGCAACGGGCTCGTTTTATCCTTTTTACCCTATTAAACATAAAGAGCAAAATAATTTAAACTGGCAACACCAAATGTTATTTTATGTAGTCAATGCAGAGTTACTAATATTGAAAGGAACAAATTACTTACTGCTGTTTTCGGATGAAAAGATATTTTGTGGCAATGATTGCTCGACCTCTTTGAGTCCTTAGCAGCATCAGTATCTGTAAAAGTAAACATAAACGGTCTACAAAAAACATGCGCAAAATGGGCTTAACCTGATCGCAACTGAGGGAAATAAAAGGAAATTATTAAGATATTACCAAATTTTGATACCATACTTAGACATCCATTACTTATAAAAATATAAGCGATATTATATAAGTCGCAAAAAAGTACATGGTAAGCGAATGGAGATCTTTTTGATCTTAGAATAGGTATAAAACCGTGAACCATACGAGCATGTCTTCAAAAGATGAAAATTTTAACTTTACTAAGTTAAAGTTTTCTTCCTACAGGTATATATAAATATAAATAAGTATTTCCAACACTCACACCAATTAGCCTAGACCCAAAGTAAGCACTATAAGGCATGTGTTATGGGATACTAAGGTTACGGATAGAATACATAGACTGTACATATATAGGTATATTTATATAGAATAACATATTAAACATTCATGACTGGAGTACCAATGCTCGTGTTCATCACACAAACATCTGCCCCCACCGGAATTCGAACCCGGGACCTCTCGTGTCGACGGCACCATGAAACCCAGCGTACAAACCACTCGGCCACGGAGGTCGTCATATATATCTGTTTTTGTTTTTTGTTATGGATGGCTGGGGTAATAAAACCACTCGCTGTGTATACCAATACTTCGCAATTGTTTATGCTAAAGAAGATATGCTTGAGAACCTAACATTCTTAAAAGTTATCGCTAATTATTTTAACTAACCAGTTATCGAATCCGGAACCTCACCAAATCCACCGGTATTAGCGTTTCATACAGGTAAAAAGTTAAGTGTATTTTGAACTGAACATAGTAAATTTGTGTCATTTAAATTACAAATGGAAATGATAATAATAAGAAATAATAATGCATTATGATGAAATAAGAATTTTGAACTGAACATAGTAAATTTGTGTCATTTAAATTACAAATGGAAATGATAATAATAAGAAATAATAATGCAGTAACAAGCAAGCAAGCTTTAAGCACACGCTTGTTTTGTCCCATGACATTGTCGAATACGTACCAGGGCGGTCGCTGCTATTCTGCTGTTGGCTACCGCCTTGTAGGGTGATCCGTATTTGCTCCGACGCAATTTTAGAAAGCAAATCTAGAGGTGTCATTGAAGCCTCCATAGTCTGCACCGTAAAGAAAATTTATCATGTATTATTGACTGCGTGAAAAAGTGAACGCAGAATATATTTTCAACACACTTGCTCAAAAAATGCATTTACGGAAGTTATATCGTTCGAAAATTTAAAATTACGGGCCATACGGCGGAGCGTACAGTAAAAATTCATTATGTATGCTCCCATACATGACAACGTGCGTATTCTTTACGGTTTTTTTTTAATTCGATCGAACCTCCACGGAATCGCTTTTAGTCTCTCGTTATTACAAAAAAAAGGAGACGAAAGATGTTGTTCTAATTTTCACCACCCGCACGTGGCGCCATTTAGAAATGCGCACCATTTTCTTATTAGAAAAAAGTAATGCTTAATTACTTAAATTATGTATAAGGTTTTCTATCAAATGCGTTGAAAAACGTTATATGACATTCGTGCGGATTGGTATTACAGAGTCGTGACTATGATAAGCCCTCGACTTCGTCTCGGGTCGTCTTACATTCGTCTACTCGTTTGTTTAAGTCGCGGCACGAAACTCCAGCGCTGACCGTTATTATTACAGAAGTAAAAATTAAGTTGTCTTGGGGGGAAACGAGGTGCGCGGGTGGGCGTGCGTTGCGCCGATTGGCTCTCCGGTCGTATTCATGCTCAGCTATCCTCACGGTGTTTTGTTCAGCGCCAGAGTTACGTGCCGCGACCTATAATAACCAACTTACCGCACTTGTATCATAAATAACCATAACTAAATTAGTTTATCCACTGTATTTATTAACAGTTTGGTCACATATAAATTATTATACAAAATTCTAATTTTTTAATCGATCATAATTTAGTTTAATGTAATAATTGCAATCTAATTTAATTTCATTTGATACGAGTATGTCATATTATGAGTTAAAATTCAATCCTCAAAATTATATGCATAGATCATTATGAATGACATCAACTCTTATAATTGTTGTGTTTAGAAGTAAACAACCAGAGTAAAATATGTATATGTTGCTAACAAATAAATAAATAATATTTTGATAAGTCTTGAGATATACACTCCAATTAAACAGAGTGGAGTATTAGTGGACATCAAATGGGAATACATTAGAAGATATAAAAAGATGCAACTAAAATATTTCTTCTCGTTTAATTTATTATTATTTTGCTACTTTATTAAAATCAGTAGTCAGTAATCTATACACACATGGAAGATACAATGTTTGTCTGTGACGTTTTCATGCCTAAACCCAGGGGTTTAGGTTTGTCGATTCAGGAATCGATATTGATGAACTATTGTTTGGACATTAAGAGGACCACAGAAATGGAGATAGACTAATTTATATCGCAACAATAAAACTTGAAGAGTGTGAATTATGGAGCGAGTAGGTATTTATATGTCGTAGGATGATTTGATTAGCTGAATTTAAGGGAAAATCCTAGGGATTTTGCGAAAACTTTTTACGCAGCTAAAGCGATTCGCGTTTCCGCAAAAATCCTATCTTTTCACAGTGGGATTGAGAAATATCATCGCCATTATCTAATTTACCGCGTTTTCACAAAATCCCTAAGATTTTTACGAAAACTCGATTTATGAATCGTATTAGGACCAAAATATATCGATATTAATGGCGTGGACGTCGTCAATTTTAATAAATGAAATAATTTCTCGATAACTATTACAGAAACACTTTATTAATAAACAAATCCAACCTTTATATTAATACCAAACAATTGTTTACATAAGACACTAAGAACAAACGAAATCATCTACCAATAAAATATATATAAGTCATAAATTGCCTGAACTCCATATTTATAAACTAGTGGCCAACCGCGACTTTGTCCGAGTTAACTGATGTTTTTTTGAGAAACCCACAGGAACCGAATATTTCTCCGGGATAAAATGTATCTTTTGTCTCAATCCAAGTCTCATGCTCTCTATGGATACCAAATTTCATCCAAATCCCATCAATAGCTTTTGCGTGATGGAGTTACAAATATACATATCCACATTGATAATATATTAGATGAATAAAATAATACTAGAAATAATAAAACTAAATTTAAAAATACTTACATTGATCACTCTTTATTTTAAACAAATGAACACAACGAAATTCACTACACAGTTGCACAGATGCAATGGTGAAGAACAAACAGTTGATGTGGAAAGCACAAAACTGAATGAGAGCATTTGCCAAAATTAGAACCGTTTAACGTAAAACTTAAAAAAAGGTAGAGGGGATGGGGTTGGACTCCCATCAAAGAAGGAATCATAGAGTAAGACACCACGATGAAACTCATTGTTTCCCAACAGCCAGGTAATATAATTCTTCCATTGTTTTCATTGTTCAAGCTTTAAGGCTTAACTTCACAAAGTCAAGTTATCTGAAGCCATAGTAATCGACCGTTCTTATTTTTTAACTACGACTATAGATAAAATATAAAGCGATTTTCAAAGAACTACGAAAATTGCTACAGTACTCTTGTATGATTATTATACAAGAATACTTGTGTATGCATTTATACATAAACATGAAATTAAGTCCGAAAATTGTATATTGATGCTAAAGTTTTCGTAAAGGAATGATTAATATTTTAATTTCATAAATGATAAATACATAATTTTGGTATTGAATCCATTAGTTATTTAAGCTTAAAGTAGAATTACACCAGTCAACAAAAAACACTTTTTGGACTTTTTGCATGTAACATGAAAACTATTGTCTAGTTGTGTTAAAGACAAAGTAAACATAAGGGTAATAAAAATAAAATTAGAATGCTTCAAATACGAATACTTTTTATATAATTAGTTTTTTTTTCAGTTTCATTCAAATACAAAATAATGTTACTTTTGTCTTTATTTTGCTTCAAAGACGTCTCTTTGTAATGCCCAACAGTAATCCCCTATAATAACGATATCAGAGAAATCCAGTTGCTCTGATATCGTTATTATATGTCAGAAATCACTTGGTTGAATTGTTCCCGCAGTTAATTGCTGGCGGCTCCCAAATTTTTAGAAAAGAAGTGTAAATGTGTCTGTATATATTGTATTTTCAACGGCATAATACATACTAAAGCGCGATTCGTAGATAACATCTCCGCGACAATACTTTTGTAGTCACTTGATTAGTTATTTCCTAGAAAATTGGAAGTAACTTTCATGAAAGATTTCCAAGCAGGTTTTCCCAAATCACTAAGTTTTTCTGTAAACATTTCACCTTTTATCGATTGCCTGATTTAAGGGCCAATAAATATGCTCATAAGATAAGGAAGCTTTTTTTAAACTCATGGTCTCATATGTCGTTTTCGATTGTTTCTGACGTAGCGGTCAGATCAGAACTTTGAGGTGGTTCTGGTACAGGTAGATCTTTACTATAGGGAACGTTCTTTTATCCTATGGCAGACCAGGATACTTAATTTATTTTTTTGCATAATTTCAATACCTTTTGTAACAGTAAGATAAAATTGACAATCCGATGAGTGGTACATTTTTACTTACAAAACAAATCAAACGGATTACTTGCTCCAAAGCTCCGACACTACTGCGTATAGACATTTAAAAATATATATGGAATGAAGTAGATCTTTGCTTGTTGATTACAGGAAAACCTAAAAGAAGTTTATAGTATGCCTAGTTTTGGTTCCTTTTTCGTCTGACACTCTCTAAATACGTACTAGGTAAAAAGGCTTGTGTCTGTTTATATTTAATTAATTATATATAGTTTATTAGTTTATAATAATTATTTTTTTATTATGTAACATCGACGTATTGCTTTCCATTATTTTGAATTTGGCATTTTTTAATGAGAAAATTATCTTAAAACAGAAACATTTAATCATCTGTCAGAGTAATTTTAAAAGTTATTTCGTATGAAATGACTTAATTTAGGTCGGCTATTTTGAATTTGCTGATTCCGCTGACGGATTCCTAATCAGCGACTCTGAAAACCTTTCGACTTTCGGCCGATGCACCGTATTTATATACAGCAACGTTGGCTACGCCGTAGCCGAGAGGCGAACGGCTTTGATATCGTAGTCATTGTTGTCGCTATCACCGAGATCTAAGTCAGGCTCGATTCAGATAATATACTTGTAAGTACCTACATTCAAACTTTCCATAACTCTAAAATAAAGCATATAACAATTTAGAGAAAACCTTGAAAAAAGTGTGAAAGTGTAAAAGTATTCATGAGCAGTGCTGAAGCAACAATTATTTTAAAATCATCAAAGGGAATGAAAATAACACCACGTTTTCATTAGGTAAACCGGTAAGTGGTTTATTATTTGAGCACCTTTTGTTATAGTTACCTTCATTGTTTAGTTTACAATTTCTAAAGTAAAATCTTATTGAAAAAGGATAAGTTATTAAAAATGGTATAAAATTATATTTCGCGGTTCGCGGTTCGTGCGTTGTTCACCATATAACTGTTAATAGTTATTCAAAGAACTTGTTACTTGTTATCGAAACTGAAGCAGATTCAATTAAAATTCAATATTATGACTGAAATTAAAAGGACGGATTTAGGACATTAGGTTTGACCTAATGTAATAAATGCATTCGTCTCACCTTAATGAAGTAGGTTGGACTAAGACGCGCATATTTTATAAAAAGATTCAGTTATACCGCATGTATTAGTAAAGCTGTTTAAGTACTTGGGGCCAGCTACACAATTTATTTACTATAGTTAATAGTCAAACTATAATTTTAGACATAAATAGGTATCAAATAATAGTATGTAATAATTCAATATATTCACCTTATTAAATACAACATGTTTAGTAATAGGTGAAGTATGATTTTGGTATTTTCTGTTAAACTTCCAGATGAACAGGTTGAGACATGAATGATTAGTATACTAATATTGAATATGATTGCAGGTTTAAAAAAAAGCTGATTTTCCTGACGTTACCAACTACTTGCTACTTCTATATAACACAACCTGGAGTCCTGGTTGCTAGTGATCGTCTACAAATAGTAAACTCAAATTCAAACTCATTTATTCAGTCTGGGCTAT